TATTTTTGAATTCAGTTTGCTAATATTTTGTTGAGTATTTTTGCATCAATTTTCATCAGGGATATTTGTCTGTAATTTTCTTTGATTTTGCTTATTTTGTTTTAATTTCATACTTGCTTGGTAATTAGTTGGTTTAGTGTCTTTACTGTGGATTTATTTTTAGTGTTGAAGCTATTTTGCTGTAGGGACCTTCCCAGCTATGGAAGTCCCTTTACCATATCCTGTAAGGCTGGCTTAGTGGTGGTGAATTCCTTTACCTCTTGTTTATTTGGAAGTTGTTTACTACCTTCCTGAAATTTGAATGATAATCATGCCTGCCTCATAGAGGATCCTTAGTGGAGGTCCTTGTGTTCTGGTACATTAAATCTGTCATGCCACTCCCTTCTGGCCTATAGAGTTTCTGTTGAGAAGTCTGCTGATAGCCTGATGTGATTCCCTTTATAAATAATATTTTTTGTCTGTCTTAATGCTTGCAACACTCTCTCTTTGTCCTTGATATTGCCATTTTAATTGTTCTGTGTCTTGGTATTCTCTTCTTGGGGTTCCTTTTGTTAGGGGCTCTCTGTGCTTCTGTGACCTGAGTGTCTATTTCCTTCTCCAAACTGGGGAAGTTCTCAAAAATAATTTCCTTAAAGAGGCTTTCTAACCCTTTGTCTCCTTCTCTTTCTGATATCCCTATCATGCAAATAAGGTTTCATTTGCTTTGCTCACATGGGTCTTTTATCATGCTTTCATTCTGAGAGATACTTTTTTCTCTGTTCCTCATCTTCTTATTTTCCTGTTCCCTAATTTCCATCTCATTTACCATCTCCTCTACCTGCCTGAATCTACTCTTAAATCCCACCAGTGTCTTTCATTTCAAATACTGTACTCTTGAGCTCTGAGTGACTCTATCTCAGATCTTCTATCTCTTTGTTGACATCCTGAGATCTTGAATACTTTTCTGAACATTTGTGAGTGTGTCTAAGACTTTTATTTTGGAATCTTTATCAAGAATACTGGTTATCTCTCTTTCATTTAACTCTCATTCTGGAGTCTGTCCTGTAGTCTTGTTTGAATCATATTCCTCTGTCTCCTCATTTTGTCAGGGTTTCTGTTTTTCTTCTTTGTATTAGATGGCTCTGCTATGCTTCCAGGCCTATAGAGTCATAGCTTTATGATGAAAGCGTCTAAGGTGCCCAGCAGTGTGGGGTTCTTCACTGACTAGTGCCTGATTTTATTCTGAAGGACCGCCATCTTTTTCTGTGCAGTGGGCAGGTATAGTCTTTCTGTCTGTGCTGGCAGTTTGCTTCAGCTGCTGCCTTTGTGATCGGCCCAGGAGCATCTGATCTCTATGAGGGAAGGGCTGCCCTCTGTCTGACCTGCTGCAATGGCAAGGCTGCAAGGTTAATGGATTGGGCAGACTGATGTGTGGCTCTGCCCCAGCCAGACACACAGCCCTGGGTTTCGACACATATGGGGAGTAGAGATCTCTTGGGTCTGGCTCCTGTAGGCACCTGCCCAGTTGGGCTCAAATGGAGCCTAGGACGTTAGGAAAGTATCCCTCCACCTGCCAGGCCACAAAGTCTGATGCTGCTGATGGACCAAGCTGGTTTGCTCCCAGCATCACACAGGGAGGAGCCACAGGGCTGTGTTGCCAGCTAAGGAGACAGTGCATCCAGGGCTCCCAAGAGTTCCCAGTCTGTTGGGCTGAGGAAGTGCTGGGGTTGGCTATCGTCCACCTGCCCTTTCTCCTGAGGAGAAAGTTCCATCCAACTCTCATCCCTCTGGCCCCCCTGCCACTGCTGGCAAGTCTCTCAAGCTGCTACCTCTGCTTTGAGTCTCAGGGCTGGTGGAACATGCCCTTCCACCACAGTGGCTGGGGTCTCAGCCTCCCAGAGTCTCCCACCCATCCCTGGTGTCCAGCTCTGCTGATCACCAGAACCCAGTGTAACGTGGGCTTGTGCTCCAGAGCAGACCTCCAGGGCCAGCTGTGCAGCCCTCCTGGGCCACTCACCCCGCACCGCTCTGTTCCTCTTCCTTCTGCCTGGAGGCTGGGGGCTGGGGGGAGTTGGGCCTTGTGTCCCTCTTGCTCTTGACTCTGCCACTTCACCATTTTCTGTGTGGTCCTGTCTTCTCCCCCAGGTGTGGGTGGCCTGTTCTCCTGTCTTCAGTGCATTTTCGGGGGTAGTTGTATTTGCTGTATTTTCTTCTTTTATGTGTTTTTGGAGGGAGGTTTTCTCCTTGCCTTCCTACTCTGAAATCTTTCCCTGGAAACTCCTGTGGAGCATTTCACACTGCATGGTGGTGGTTTCTCCTTACTCATGGTAGTTGTGCTCTACAAAGTTGCTTCAGACACTAAATTAACAGATCTTGAATCATTGCTCCTGGAGAAAATCACAGGCTGAAGTTTGGGCAAGACTCTGGCCAGAACGCTTTTGTCCTCCAATCAACATATAACCTTGTTTTGTGTGTGTTTCTGTTTAAAAACATCTCTTCTACTGTGGACTCATGGGCATTGAGCTCACAACCAACAGCCCCATAGTTCAGCCTGAACACAGCTTATCTAACACACATATCTTCTCCCAAAGACACATCACAGGGTTCTTGTACTTAGGACGCTTACACAGCTTCAGCACTGGGGCCACTTCAAATCAGAGCCAGTTCATCCCAAACTACTAAAAATGTGAAAAACACGTTCATAAATAGACTGTGAAGAGGGTACCTGTTTACATTAGAATTGGAACAAGAAGGCAGAGCACTGCCTTGTGTGACCTCAACTAAAAATGTGCATTGGCAACTCAACTTTTTGCTGTTCTGTGGCTCTCAGAATGACCGTGATGGCGTGGGAGCCCTCACGTGGGTGTCCCAAGTGGGTGAGGCACAAATAGTGACGGGTGACCATCTGTAATGCAGAGTGAACAGCCTCATGCAGGGGCCACTTTACAGCGACCCAGGGGACTGTGCTGTCACACTCCCTGCCAGTGACAGGAAGATGTCCATTAGCAGAAAACCCATGTACTTAGCAAAGTAGAGTATAGCTTCTTGGTGAGCTAAAGTATGCCTTGAGGAATGTAACTTGGTCCTTGGTCTTCCCATGTGATGGGCCATCCTCATTGGTCAGTGTCACTACTGTCCACTAATGGATGGGGTACGCGGTCTGTATTTTTCTTCTTCCTAGTGATGTGTTCCAAGGACCTCATTCACACTGTGGGAATGGGGAGAAGAGGGAGCTGGAGAGGAGGCTGGGTGAGGAACCGCAGCAGGTCTGGGTGCAGAGGAGCCAGGCAGACAGAGGGTGTGAGTGCATTGGGCTGATGAGAAGACCTCCAAGAGGGAAGATGCAGGGGGGACCCCAGGGCCTGGCCCTTCTCCTTGACCTACGTCAGCCAGCTCCTGTCTGTAGGAATTGTGTCCATGAACATTGTGTGTGTGGTGCATGTGGTGGGAGGACTTCTCATTTCTTGGAGGACAGTAAGGTCCCAGGGGTGAACAGGCTGCCCCACCTGTCCCAATGTCCTTCCATGGTGCCTCCCACCTCTGTCCCTCAAGCCGTGTTCTCCAGGACAGAGGATATTTCTGTGTTGGCTTAGAGTTTTTCTGGCCCAACAGTCTACTTGAGTCCCCTTCCTTCTGTGACAGCTTCTGGGGCTTAGTTTTCAAGGTGACAGCAGACTGGGGGGGGCCTCCAGACCCTTGCATTTGCCATTGAGGATCTTCTCTGTCTAGCCTAGTATTTACCTGAAACTTTCTTTTTCAGTTCGTGAGAAATGCAGCACATGTGAATCTCAATGTGAGCGTGGCTGGTGTGTGTCTTCTCTGTGCAGTGATGGTGCCAAGCCCCTGCCCTGGCCATCAGGAGAGGTGAGTGCCCCAGGAGCAGGGATGCATGTTGGTGGAGTGGATATGAGAACATGGGTTAGATGGCAAGCATGAAGCCATGAGAAGGCAGTTCACTATGTTAAAAAAGAAAGAAAAAACACCGATACTGTTCACAGCCATAACACAGGCATCTGTGCAGGAAATGGGGGCAGCTCAAGAGCAGAGAAAACCTGAAAATTATTGCCCAGAAGCCTCTCGTCACTACATCAGAATGTCCCGAAAGTTAAGATGCTCCTGTTGAAAGTCACTCTTTTTTATTGAAAATTATAGATACTAAAGTTGTTTTTGTTATCATTAATTTACAGTTACATGAGGAACTTTATTTATTAGACTCCCCCCATCACCAAGTCCCCCTGACATAGCCCATTACAGTCACTGTCCATCAGCATAGTAAGATGCTATACAATCACTACTTGTCTTCTCTGTGTTGTACAGCCCTCCCTATGCCCCCACTACATTATGTGTGCTAATAGTAATGGCCCCCACTTTTTTCCCCTTCTCCCTTCCTTCCCACCCATCCTCCCCAGTCCCTTTCCCTTTGGTAACTGTTAGTCCATTCTTGGGTTCTGTGAGTCTGCTGCAGTTTTGTTCCTTCAGTTTTTTTCTCTTTGTTCTTATGCTCCACAGATGAGTGAAATCATTTGGCACTTGTCTTTCTCTGTCTAGCTGATTTCACTGAGCATAATATCCTCTAGCTCCATCCATGTTGTTGCAAATGGTAGGATTTGTTTTGTTCTTATGGCTGAATAATATTCCATTCTGTATGTGTACCACATCTTCTTTATCCATTCATCTACTGATTGACACTTAGGTTGCTTCCATTTCGTGGCTATTGTAAACAGTACTGCAATAAACAAAGGGGTGCATATGTTGTTTTCAAACTGGGCTACTGCATTCTTAGGGTAAATTCCCAGGAGTGGAATTCCTGGGTCAAATGGTATTTCTGTTTTTAGTTTTTTGAGAAACCTCCATACTGCTTTCCACAATGGCTGAACTAATTTACATTCCCAGCAGCAGTGTAGGAGGGTTCCCCTTTCTCCACATCCTCGCCAGCATTTGTTGTTCCTAGTCTTTTCGAGGCCATCCTAACTGGTGTGAGGTGATATCTTATTGCGGTTTTAATTTGTGTTTCTCTCATTAGCGATGTGGAGTGTCTTTTTGTGTGTCTCTTGGCCATGTGAATTTCTTCTTTGGAGAAGTGTGTGTTCAGATCCTCTGCCCATTTTTTAATTGGATTATTTGCTTTTTGTTTGTTGAGGTGCGTGAGCTCTTTATATATTTTGGATGGCAATCCTTTATCAGATCTGTCATTTATGAATATATTCTCCCATACTGTAGGATGCCTTTTTTGTTCTATTGATGGTGGAAAGTCACCCTTAAGAGGTTTTTTGTAGAAGGTTTGTGAGTGTGAGGTCGCAGTGCCGACCATGGCCAAGAGGCCCTCCTGGAGCTCTGCTCTGAGCTCCCATCACCAGGAGCTCACTGGGGCTCCCATGTGACATGAGGTGCAGCTTGGGCCTGAATCCTCCTGCTTGCATTCGACCTTTGTAAGGTCCCTCCTCCCTTGTGTTGTCTGATCACTAAGTGGGTGTGAGCTGGGCCCCAAGCGTGTGATGGATCTGGGGGTGGGATGCATCGGAGGGTCTGGGCTGTGGCAATGGCCACAGCCCTTCCCAACCTCCTGTCAGTCCTGCGTCAGATCCGGGGTCCAGGTCAGGTAATGAGCAGATGCCCTGTGACCTCCTGTGCTGGGAGCTTGTTACAGTGGTGAATGCACGGCTGGGAAGAGCCTCTGGAGCAGGTTGTTTGGCTTGTATTCTTCCAGTGAGTTGAAGGCTCCTGATTTGAGAGAATAAGCTATATCTGCCCCCTTCCCACCCAGGCTCGTACCTCCTCACCCGCACTCAGCTCTGGAAAGAGGTTCCCTCGATCCATGACACCGCGGAGCTCTCAGGCTCTGTCCCACCTGGTTGCAGAGAGATGGGAGGGTGTCGGCTCAGCCAGGCCTCCTCATCCTCCCAGCACCCTTTCCTGAGCTCTGTGTGCAGGTGCCACTGAGCAAGTCCCCACCGTCTCCTCAGGATTGTGACCCTGGGCACTTACAGCGTGGCGCCTGGCGGGGCTCCTGTGGTGGGGAGCAGCGCACCTGCCACATGGCCCACACAGACGGCAGTGATGAGGCCAGGTGTAGGTGCAGGCTCCCAGGAGGGAGATGGCAAAGGGCTCCCTGGGGGCCTGCTGCTTCCTCGTGGCCTGAGACAGCAGTTCAGGAGGCAAAGCTGCAGGCTTGGAAATGAATTCCTGCAGCAGGAGGGAGGTGGCTTGATGCTGCACTGGGGGAGCCCAGCTGGTGGTGGGGTGCAGGTTGTTAACCCTGTAGCTATCAGGTCATCCCAGACCCCCAGGAAGAGCCATAGCTGAGAGTCAGGGCCACTCCCACACCTGCCTCTGCCTCAGCCTGAGGTAGGGCATCCGGGACACAGTGTCCAAGGCTCAGATGAATGTGCAAAGTGCTCATGGTCACCCCCAGTCAGGCATAGTGTTCCCGCAGCTGCTGTCTGTCCCCACAGGTGCTGGCCTCTGGCAGTTGTAGCTTGGTGCAAGGAGAAGGGCTACCCCCTCACTCATGCTGTCCCTTAAGAACAAGTCTGCATGGCAGAGCTGTCCCAGCCACCCACCCAGGTCCTATGCCAGAGCCTTTCTGGGCTCCTGGTGAGTCCTGTCTTCCTCCCTCCCTGTCCCGTGTCTTCTGGAGCCTGACCACCTGCAGACACCTAGCAGCGGCCCTTCCAGGCCCAGCTGTGCTCTTGGGGAGAAGCAAGCAGCTCTCCTGGATGTCCCTTCCGCCTAAGAGCTGGGAGTGTGGCCCACCCCTATGTCAAGGGCAGGGCCTCCTGAGCTCTCCTGGAGCAGAGTCGTTGGCTGAACAGAGTGAGCTGGAATGCGAGGAGGAAGCAGAAGACTGTCCTGTGGGCTGGTCACCAGGGCATCTCTGGTAGAGCAGCTCAGTCAGGTCCCTGTGCCTCTTCACCTCCCACCGCCGCAGGGGCTCTCTGTGTCCAGGCTGAACTTGGGCACCTGTTACATCGGGACCCGAGGAGGTGGCACTGGCATGAGGTGTGTGCCAGGGTTAACATGGGGTGACTGCATTCCATGTGAACCTGGTCCTAAGCACTCTCTGAGGGGATGAAATCAAGTGTGTGACCACTTGGTCTTGTTGCGAGTTGGAGGCTTTTTATCTGTGGTGACCTGTCTCCACAGTTTCACTGCTTTCCAGCTCTGTGAGGTACGTGCTGGCAAGCGAGGCTCTGGGCTGAGGAGCAGGGGCCGCATCTGCAGAGATGTGCATGCGAGCAGAGGTCGGGATGGCCGTGCAGTCAGCCCTGTCCCACCCCAGGCTCCTGTGGGCGCACCGTCATCCTGGCTGTGCCCTGCCACCTGCAGGCCTCCCCTGTGAAGTACTGTCATACCTGGTGTCTCACACTGAGTTACAGTATGTGGGTATTAGCGTAGCCGTTCTGAGGAGGGGAGCACCACCCAGACACCAGCCAGACCCTCACCACCCTGCAGGGGAGGCAGACCACCCATCCTGTGTCCTCGGAGCTGGGGATCACTGCTCAGGCTCCTGGAGGCCATGCTGGGAGCCACACTCAGGTGACACGGTCTGAACCAGCCCTGCTGGTGGTCAGTCAGTTGCTCTGACTCCTCTGTGGAGTGAGGAGCTTGAAAGCAGATGGGCTGGCATCAAGGACAAGGCCGTGATCATGTGTCTTTTGGCTGTAACTCAGTGGGTCAGAGGGTCTTCTGGACAGATCTGGTGGGGACAGCATTAAGTGGCTACATATGGACACATAGGAATGGGTCTGTGGTGACAGGTATGTTCCCTCATGCCGGTTTTCATCTTGTCCTTACAAAATAACACACAGACTGAAACAAAACCAGGGGCCATTACCATCCTACAGTGGGGATAACTGTCCCCCCTAATGGAAAGGATCAAGGAGTATGAGGTGCTTAGCAATGGAAAATGCACGTTCATCTCCTGTGGAGTTAGTCACACTGTCAGCCAGTGACCATTATGTGATGGTCATCTGCCTCTACAAATAATACTTTGGAGCACTGAAAAGAGAGTTCCCTGATGGAGACAATTATGCCAGTTGGAGAATGAATTACCATGGTGTGCAAGTCGGATGGCTGTGAGCTGAGGCCTAGGAATAGCTGCAGTGTGACCTGGATACACATGTTGAATGGTTTCCTCTCTTTGGGGATGAGATCAGATTGTCCACTGGTCACCGTGATCGGGAGGCATCTGTACCGGACAGATGGGATCACCGGCCGGCTTTTGGCAAGTCATATGGTGGCTGTTTGGAGGGGGAAAGCTGAGTCCATGATTGCTCTGCAGGGTGACTTGAACCAGCCACAGTCCTTGGCTGCAGATCCCCTAGATGGTTGAGTCCGGGCATCCACATGCCTAGTCACGGTCTTTGTTATTCCTCTAGTTCTGCTTTGCTTGCACTGACTCAACGCAGACCCAGTAGGCGGACACGTACCTGACTGCAGATGCCTGGTGACATGGGCCACCTGCACACATAGTAATTTTAAAAACTTCTGCAAAAAGTCTTTTATTTTTATAAAGTGAGGTATACGTGTGCATACTCGATGGCCCACCGATACATTTACATGAGGTAAAATAGTCATTTCTAGATGATACCATTTCTTAATTTGAAGCATGATTGACATACATTATATTAGGTCCAGGTCTGAACTCTCTTTGCTGAAGTAAGTGCTCCTGTGAATGGAGAACTTGTGTGGATTGAAATGACAGGAGGAGGCAGCATGGAGGTGGGGATAGTGTCTCATCCACAGCAAGGTGCTTGAGAGGGGGGAGGGAACTGTGTGGGGGACATAGCCTCTGCAACAGGACCTCCCTCTGCCAAGGTCCATGGACGTGGGGACAGCACGCCCTCCTTGTCAGAGCCCAGCCCGCACCGGGATGGTGGTGTGTGCATCACATGGGCGAGTCAGAGCAGACCTCTGGCTCCCAGGCTAGATACCCCCTCTGCATCTGTCCCATTTCAGTCCCTTGACCCGGGAACCTGTTACCCTGGGCTCAGCATTGGGCAGCGGCTTCTAATGCCTCTGGGGGCCAAGAATAGGTCTGAGGCCACATCTTCCTCTGGGATTCACCTACTTCCCAGCCCAGGAGGGTTGGCAGGTTCCCTGGCTGTCATCCAGGCCTAGGGACTGTTGTATTCCTCAGCTTCCTGTACAGCTGTCATGGTAATTTGTCACCAAATGATGACTAAGCAGTACCATAGAATTTCAAGGAACCCTTCCTGTACTCTCACAGTTATGCCAAAGGAATACAGTAAGTTAACTATTGAGGGAAAAAAAATTGGAGCACCTGTCAGTGTTCTGGGAATGAACTGAGGGTATTTCCATGAGGCAGAACCTCACCCTCCAGCTGCCTGTCACGATGCACCTGGGTTAAGGTACTGGGCTGAAGTGGAGGGGCCCCTGGCAGCCGGGTAGAGAGAATGTGATGGCAGGAAAGGTCCCAGTGGTCAGGGATGGGGTTGCCAGTCTAGAAGGCACCGGCAGCACTGTGTGTGCGTGCTGTGGTGTTATGCTGGTGTGAACTGTCCTGAGCCTTGGATAAATCTCACCCCATGAATCTCCCCATCACCCAAGGTGGTGACCCAGCTAACTCAGCTGCAGGGCCCCTCTGGGGCTGCTGTGCTTGACAATGAAGCTTCTGGTCTGAAAGGGAGACATGCACAGCACAGCCCACAGATAGAGGACAGAAGGTACCGGACTGTTTTCAGAGAGGACTTGAGCAGCCTTAGGGACTGAGGGTCTGTAGTGTTCTCCTGCAGGGATCTTCCCGTTCTCCTGTAGAGGGTCACATGCACGCAGTGCCCCAGTTCCAGGTGGTGTGCGATGAAGCTGTAATGACTCAATGGCAACATTCGTTCCTGTACTATTGTGAATGACTCAGTGATGCCAGTGACATCTTGCTGTCTCCTTCCAGGTGATGCAGGAAGCGGTGAAGCCCTGGTCCTCCATCCTCATGTGGACGCTGCCCGTGACCCAGGGGCAGCGGTCACTGCCTGGTGGGATTCCTGCCTGCAGGCGCCGGCCTCAGCTGTCCCACTGAGGAGGCTGCACCTCAGTTCCTCGTGGTAACTACCGTTATGGCCCAGGTAGTGTGATTTCATTTCTCCATGTCCAGTTATAAAAAAGGTTGGGGCTCTTTCCCTGGGAACATTCTTCAAAGACAACCTCAGTGTTAGTATCCTGTGGGCTGAGTGCTGCCATGACCATGTGACGGGGCTGTGATGTGAAAACCACTGCTATCTCCGTTCCCTTAAGGAATGTTTAGTGCATGAGAACAAGTGAGGGGGTAGCGAGAGGGGTTCCCCTTTGTCTGGGGTGTAGGTCCCTTGCTGACGGTGAGGGCTTTTCTGTAAATCAGAGAAGCGGGGAGGTGCTAACCAGCAAGTCCCTCCTCACTTCCACCATGCAGAGGACTTGTGCTTTAGAATGCCAAGTTGGCAAAATAAGATCAAACTGACAGTGATGTCAGTTACTCCCCCCAGAACTTAAGAGCAAGTCTCATATAAAGGGAGGCCTTTGTAACAGACGAGTAAATCTCCAAAACACATGGATTCATGGAATTTGAGCCCCAGAAGCTCCCAGAAGGGAGAGAAATAACTGAAGACAAGACACTCAAATTATGAGTTTCATATTTTAATGTTTCATAGCTTTGTACATTACTGTTAGAGTAAGGAGAAGAACTGGCCTTCAGAGAATGAGTGGCTGGCAGTATCCCCTAACAAGACGTGACCAGCCACAGGGAAGAGCACATCCTGTTCAGACTGAGAAATCATCTGAACCTCTCTTCCTAGGCAGAGGACTCATAGGCAGTGCTTGGCAGGACAGCCAACATGGGGTGTTCCAGATGGCAGCCGGCTGCAGGTCATGATTCTACAGCTGAGTGGATGGTGACTATGCGGGTGCATAGCTCTGATCATTGACTGTGTCTCACAGTTGGAGGAAGAGCCCCGCCAGTCCGTAATCTAACACACATTTGTGAACCAGTGTTGCTATGACTTGGGGGAGCTTTTCTTATTTGCTTGTTCTTAAACATCAACATGCTGAATTCCATGCTGCCCGAGATCCTGGCTTTCATACAAGGTGCTCTGCTGTAGAGGGCACTGGGGCACGGCACAGACAGAACTGGGCCAGGAATTGTTAGTAGCTGCAACCCCTTATGTGTAAATGGGGACAGGACCTGGCTCAGGTGCCTAAGTACACATGAAAGCACCAGGTGAATCTGAACCATTCTACATTGCTGGGTATTTCTAGTCCTCAAAGAGAGTGCTCTGAAACACAGTGCTCTGATGTGTTCTTTCTGGCTAGTCTAGATTTCAAAAAACTGGGAAATGCTGTTTAAAATAATCTGCCTCTTGATATTTCTAAACACTGATCAGTTGGGCTGGCCGCATCTAAGTGCAAAAACCAGTCATCAGGTCGTAGCCCAGAGATATTCATTTGGTAAGTATGTGGGGAGACCTCTGCCATCTATTTTAAGAATCCCAGACAGTGTTCAAAATCACTGCCCATCATCACTACTACCTGTCAATTGCCTGGACTGCATGCCATTCTCTCATACCCTGATTTTCCTGCTTTGTATATCTGGGCATACCTTAGACCTGCCTTTGTTTCGAGAGGCCTACAACTGTTTGTATTTACCTTGAAGAGTCTTCCCAGAACACATCTCATTTGCACTCTTGTTATAGAACTGGAGGTTGTTTTCATACTGAGCAAGTGGTCTTGAGATAAAACATCTCTTGTGTTAATAACCATTTCCTGTATTTCAGCCCAATCAGTAGTGCTTGGCACAGCAAGGCAGAGGTGGTCTACTGGAAACACCGATTTCCTTCCTGAAAGAAGATTGTGGATTTAAGCCTTTATAGTAAACTTAGTCCACAAGGTAAGCAACCTTGCACCCTTGCAATGAATGTGGCCAGCTGAGGCCACCTGAATTTCCCTGCGCAGGGGATGCCTGTCTGGCAGCATCTCTGTGCTCCCTTTTGGGGGAAGCATGCGGCAGGCGAGGGTCTCCAGATGGCCTCACACTCCTGTTTTATGCAGCTGCAGTCTTGTGCTCCAGATGATGCAGGGGGGCTAAGGAACGGGGCTCTGCTTTCAGGCCGTTACTGCAGCCTGCGTCACAATANCCAGCATTTGTTGTTCCTAGTCTTTTCGAGGCCATCCTAACTGGTGTGAGGTGATATCTTATTGCGGTTTTAATTTGTGTTTCTCTCATTAGCGATGTGGAGTGTCTTTTTGTGTGTCTCTTGGCCATGTGAATTTCTTCTTTGGAGAAGTGTGTGTTCAGATCCTCTGCCCATTTTTTAATTGGATTATTTGCTTTTTGTTTGTTGAGGTGCATGAGCTCTTTATATATTTTGGATGTCAATTCTTTATCGGATCTGTCATTTATGAAAATATTCTCCCATACTGTAGGATGCCTTTTTGTTCTATTGATGGTGGAAAGTCACTCTTAAGAGGTTTTTTGTAGGAGGTTTGCGAATGTGAGGTTGCAGTGCCAGCCATGGCCAAGAGGCCCTCCTGGGGCTCTGCTCTGAGCTCCCATCACCAGGAGCTCTCTGGGGCTCCCATGTGACATGAGGTGCAGCCTGGGCCTGGATACTCCTGCTTGCATTCGACCTTCATAAGGTCCCTCCTCCCTTGTGTTGTCTCATCACTAAGTGGGTGTGAGCTTGTCCCCAAGCATGTGATGGATCTGTGGGTGGGATGCATTGGACGGTCTGTTCTGCAGCAGTGGCCATGGCCCCTCCCAACCTCCTGTCGGTCCTGCATCAGATCCGGGGTCCAGGTCAGGTAATGAGCAGATGCCCTGTGACCTCCTTTGCTGGGAGCTTGTTACAGTGGTGAATGGATGGCCGGGAAGAGCCTCTGGAGCAGGTTGTTTGGCTTGTATTCTTGCAGTGAGTTGAAGGCTCCTGATTTGAAAATAAGCTGTATCTTTCCCCTTCCCACCCAGGCTCATACCTCCTCACCTGCACTCAGCTCTGGAAAGAGGTTCCCTTGATCCATGGCACCGCGGAGCTCTCAGGCTCTGTCCCATCTGGTTGCAGAGAGACAGGAGGGTGTCGGCTCAGCCAGGCTTCCTCATCCTCCCAGCACCCATTCCTTGGCTCTGTGTGCAGGTGCCACTGAGAAAATTCCCACTGTCTCCTCGGGATTGTGACCCTGGGCACTTCCAGCGTGGTGCCTGGTGGGGCGCCTGTGGTGGGGAGCAGTGCACCTGCCACATGGCCCACACAGACGGCAGTGATGAGGCCAGGTGTAGGTGTGGGCTCCCAGGAGGGAGACGGCAAAGGGCTCCCTGGGGGCCTGCTGCTTCCTCATGGCCTGAGACAGCAGTTCAGGAGGCAAAGTTGCAGGCCTGGAAATGCATTCCTGCAGAAGGAGGGAGGTGGCTTGATGCTGCACTGGGGAAGCCCAGCTGGTAGTGGGGTGCAGGTTGTTAACCCTATACTATCAGGTCATCCCAGACCCCCAGGAAGAGCCATAGCTGAGAGTCAGGGCCACTCCCACACCTGCCTCTGCCTCAGCCTGAGGTAGGGCATCCGGGACACAGTGTCCAAGGCTCAGATGAAGGTGCAAAGTGCTCATGGTCACCCCCAGTCAGGCATAGTGTTCCCGCAGCTGCTGTCTGTCCCCACAGGTGCTGGCCTCTGGCAGTTGTAGCTTGGTGCAAGGAGAAGGGCCA